TTCTAATTCCGTTGTTGGCGCTTATTTATTTCAAAATATTTTCCTCTTTTGTATTGCCTTTATTCAATTCATCAAAGAATAATTCAGAATCTTAATGATTTTCGGGTATTTTCAATCTTTGTATTGGCTTTTGACGGAAAACATGTTCTAATTTTTGTGTGGGTGCTTATTTACTTCAAAATATTTTCCTCTTTTGTATTACTTTTATTCAATTCTTTCACAATCTGAATGATACTCAAATTTTCAATATTTGCACTGACTTTTGTTGGAAAATTTGTTCTAATTTGTTTGTTGGTGCTTATTTACTTCAAAATATTTTCCTCTTTTGTATTACTTTTATTCAATTCTTCCGGAAGCTGAATTATACTATACGGATATTTTCGATATTTGTACTGACTTGATGGATAATTTGTTCTAATTACTTTTTGGGTTCGTATTTAGTTGTCTCGTCGGTGCATTGCGCCATTTTTTTCGTTCTTGTTCAAATCACTCACACAAACTATGCTACAATTGAAATATGCGCATTCAAGAATACCATGAGCATTAGTTACACATTTTCAAAGAATTTTGTTTTTCTATTGTTTCTTAGCTCATAACACATGAAGCCTCGATTTAGTAAATTACATGCAATTTTTCTCTTCAGACAAATCGATTGCAGAACGACTCAGAGTATTGCAGAAACAGGAAGTACCAGAGGAAAATGCCAGTTGGCAAAATGTTGAAATGAAAAGGAATTTGCTTGGGGAAATATTAAATGACACAGAATGTGATGACCAAGTAAAGAGTGCATCTCCTCCTACTTACGGTTGTTCATTTAACGAGATGGAGTCATTAAATAATTTTGAGAAGAATACGGAATCTGTTGTGTTAAAGGGGCCTATTTTATCTCCTCTAAAGGTTAATCCCAGTCAATTATCCCAGCCATCCACTGCAGGAGCCAGCAGCACAACTCAAGACGGCAATCCAAGAATAATCAAACTAAAAAACATGATTTCTGGAGACATACTGACAAGTCATTGGACCATTAGCAATGATGAGAAGAAAAAATTAAATCGTGTTTTCTATCGGATAACGTTGCCCTCCACGACAAAAAAAGCCGAAACTAAAATAATACAAAATATGTATGTGCCAAACGAATCCAGCAGCCAAAAGGGTCAAATCGGAAGCAGTTCAGCGTACAAGTCTGTAACCGAGTTGGTGCAACCTGAAGACCCTCTAATCCACACCAACCCAAAAGCGGTCAAAGCTGAAGAAGTTAATCCTAAAAAAAGAGATGAGAATCCACTTCTGACTCTCAGCTTTCAGACGCATCCGGGAACACCGACTTCTAACAGAAAAAACCAACCGCAAATTTCCGTTGAAAGGCCAAATCAGAAAAGTAATGGCAGACATTCTGTTTTAAAAAAAAATGTAGTTGCGGGCAAATTGTTGAAAACACCGGTGACTTACGTGGCAAGTCCCAATGAAAAAGAAAATGTGGGAGATTCCTCTCAAGAACCAGCAACCATCATCAGAGATACCAACACAAAATCAACCGCTCTCAGATGCTATTCTAGATCGCAATTATCTGCAAAAACAAATAAAATTTCAAACAGAAAAACCCCTGAGAGCCAACTTTCCGCTACCAAGAACAAGCCAACGACATCAACTGGCGCACATGTGAAGAGCGGCGAAATTATTACGATTACCAGCGAAGATTATGTAAAAACAGTTCCAGAAGTTGCAGTGAAAACAACAGGCCAACCCGAATTACAGAAATTAGACGAATGCGATAGTGAAAGCGATTTAAATTGCCCAACAATTCGTTCTGATATGGACATCGATAAATCAATTGACGAAAATTGCCGATTGCTTGTTAATCAAATCACAACAGATACTGAAGATGAGGTCGATTGCTTGGAAACAGACTCAATCGAAGAAAAGTACGTTCTCGATGAATCGCTATCACCGCTTCAAAGCATGACGACCAATGATACAAGCGACTGTAAAACTTCAAGTGGTTCAGAAGGGAAAAAGAGCGCTGAAATTAATAAAGTGGAATCAAAAGGAGCAAATATCGAAGATATTATAAAAGTCACCCGGAATTTGAACCAATTAAGCATTGTGAGTGTTGCGGATAGCATTAGTCGGAAGCAACGCGATCAAACAGGTGTGGACTCGAGCAACGAAAGTATCAATGTAACAAAAATTAAAACGTATGAGAAAGTAAGCAAGAAGTCGGAAAAAGCGGGGATTAATAACGCAGAGATAAAGACAGTTAAGGACAGTACGCACATCAGTAAACTAAACATTTGCACTGGCAATAAAGTAAGTTTGCGGGATTTTCGCAGAGTATTAACTGACACAAACCTAAGCAATAAAGAAAGTTTGCCAAATTTGGATAAAGAAAATATCGATTTAACTAATGGCATTACAGTGAAAAACTTGCCAGCCGAAATTAGTACAAAACTCAGGATTTTAAGCCAAAGGGACGTCAGAATTAGTAAAGTAACCAGTTTATTGAAAACCTCGACGTTGTTACCGTGTCACATTGAAGAAGCAAAAGAAAATCAAGAATGTGAAGAAATTGACAAGAAACCTGAAGAAACGCTGATTAATGAGAAACAGACTAGTAAGGATAATCTTCATATCAGTGAACTGAAAAAAGATCCGATGAAAGTAAGTGAAGGACCTGAACTGAAATTGCGGAATTTTTGCGAAAAGGCGACTGATTTAAAAATAGATAAAAACTTTTTCAATTTGGATAAAGACAGCCTTGATGCAAATAATGGAATTACATTGAAGAACTCGTGTGGTCACCATAGTGAAAAAAACAAGATGTTCTCCCAAAAGATCATTGAAATTTCTCCGACTTCATTACGGTGTACCAATGGAAAAGCAACAACTGCGTTTGTGCAAACTGAGGTAAATTCAAAAAGGGAAAATATCAGTAATACAGGCGACAAAACAGGTGAGGAAATTAGCAAGAAATTTGAAGAAAAATGTATTAATAAGAAAGAGGCGAGTGAGGACAACCTCCATGTCAGTGAACTAAAGGCAGAAACTTGCCATGGAGTAAAGTTGCAGAATTTTCGCAAAGAAATAACTGATTCAAACATAAAAAAGACAGAAAGTTTTTCCAATCTGAATAAAGAAAACATCGACACAAATAATGAAATTGCAGTGAAGAACTCATGTGGCCAAGATAGTGAAACAATAAAGATTTTCTCACAAAAGATCATTGAAATTTCTCCGACTTCATTACGTTGTACGTATGGAGAAGCAACAACTGCGTTTGTGCAAACAGAGGTAAACTCAAAAAATGAAAATATCAGTGATACAGGCGACAAACCAGGTGAGGAAATTAGCAAGAAGTTTGAAGAAAAATGTATTAATAAGAAAGAGGCTAGTGAGGACAACCTCCATGTCAGTGAACTAAAAGCAGAAACTTGCCATAGAGTAAAGGTGCAGAATTTTCTCATAGAAATAACTGATTCAAACATAAAAAAAGCAGAAAGTTTTTTAAATGTGAATAAAGAAAACATCGACACAAATAATGAAATTGCAGTGAGGAACTCATGTGGCCAAGATAGTGAAAAAATAAAGATTTGCTCACAAAAGGTCATTGAAAATCCCCCGATTTCATTACCGTGTAACAATGAAGAAGCAACAACTGCGTTTGTGCAAACGGAGGTAAATTCAAAAAGCGAAAATATCAGTAAAACAGGCGACAAAACAGGTGAGGAAATTAGCAAGAAGTTTGAAGAAAAATGTACTAATAAGAAAGAGGCTAGCGAGGACATCCTCCATGTCAGCGAACTAAAAGCAGAAACTTGCCATACAGTAAAATGGCAGAATTTTCACAAAGAAATAACTGAATCAAACATGGAAAAGACGGAAGGTTTTTGCAATGTGAATAAAGAAAACATCGACACAAATAATGAAATTTCAGTGAAGAACTCATGTGGCCACGATAGAGAAAAAATACAGATTTTCTCACAAAATATCATTGAAAATCCCCCGACTTCATTACGGTCTACCAATGGAGAAGCAACAACTGCGTTTGTGCAAACGGAGATAAATTCGAAAAGCGAAAATATCAGTAAAACAGGCGGCAAAACAGATGAGGAAATTAGCAAGAAGTCTGAAGAAAAATGTATTAATAAGAAAGATGCTAGTGAGGACAACCTCGATGTCAGTGAACTAAAAGCAGAAACTTGCCATACAGTAAAATGGCAGAATTTTGGCAAAGAAAGAACTGATTCAAACATAAAAAAGACAGAAAGTTTTTTTAATGTGAATAAAGAAAACATCGACACAAATAATGAAATTGCAGTGAAAAACACATGTTTTGACAATGAAAAGGCAAATACGGTTTTTGAACCAGATGATTTGACAAAAGCTCATTCAACTCAGATCCAACAGGCTATTCCACAATTCAGCGAAAATCCACAGAGTAATAAAACTTCAAAAGAAAAAAAACTTTCTATGAAGAAACCGATTAAATTACGATCTTCTAAGGACACAAGGAAAAGAACCAGCAACCAACGTAGTCTGTTAAACCGACAGCGATATGCTCTCATTGCAAAGGTAAGTGGATCAATTTGGTAAAGGCTTATATAAAGCACTAGTTTTCCATTGTAGATTTCAATGGTATCAAAAACAATTCAAAATCGTGTTCGGAACTCTGAACGCCTGGCTCATCGCATATTCAACAATAAATTATTGAAGCGAACTTTAGCAAAACTTTCTTTCTATTTTTGGTTCTTAAAAGCAAGAAGGATTTCGTGTTTGGACGCGATTGATTTCTACTCCAGTGATCGAAGAGCTTTCATTGTCCCAAGGAAGACTCAGCGAACTAACAGGAAAGCGGGTAATTACGGTTTAGTATTTCGAAGTTTGTAATATTCATAGATCTTTCGTCATTTTCAAATGACACTCAGTTTCATAACATCACTGTTTCAGATTCTTTGCCAGTTCCTATCCCGCAGCCGAAAAATATGAATGTTACACATTTGGATGACGGCTTAAAGAACGGTAGAGGTGCGTGATTTTCACCAATATTAATGTTTTTTTTTCCAAAACAATTTTATTATTCCTGTAGAAATTGAAGTCGACGAATACACCAAACCCTTGGAGATTTTGAAAGAAACCAAATCGGATTCCCAGCTTTTACTAGGAGATTCTCAGGAGAAACCCACTGCTGGTCCCGATACGGCACTGAGGCGATCATCTTCGGCATCTAAAGGTAAAAACGCACTTGTTAGCAGGCTTTAATTCAATTATGGGTGGATTTTGTTGTTAATTCTAACCGATTCTTATCAGCAGTATTGAATATGTAAATATTTGAATTTGCAATTGGAATCTTGTCACCTCGCTAAGAGCATGACTGATGGAAGAAAGATACTTTAGAACTAACACAAATTATTCGATTGAATCTAAAGATGATCCTTCTTTGAGACATTTAGCTGTAATTAAATATTACTTTATTTATCATGTACACGCAAAGAGACCATGGGCGGATCCAGCTTTAAAGTCAGGGGAGGGGGTTATGTAGAAAAAATACAGTCTTCTGTTGTTTA